TGGTCCTGGACCTGCCACATGCCTCGTCCGCGGTTTTTTTTTTCCTTCTTGCTGATGAACATGTCTGCCTTCTTGTTGGCAAAGTTCAAGAGGTCCGTGATCTTCTTCTCCTCCTTGGTTTGTTTGATCTTCTCCTCCGCTTTTTTCACCTCGTCGATGAACTTCTCTGCCTTCTCTTTGCCATTTTTCATGGCCACCATGAGTTGCTCTGCCATGTTGATCTCTGTAAGAAAGCAATTTGGGAAGAATAATCACCGCTTGTATTACAATCTGTTGAGATACATATACAGGGGTGAGAGCAGAGGCCAGTGGCTCATGAGTACATGCAGATCCTACGAGATCCTACAAAGGAGGAGGACTGGCCGTTACACAAAATGAAAGGTGCAGAGCTACTCTAGCTATCCTATACATGTTTGTTTACACCCCCCGCAGTTTGAGCATCGGTTGTCCGAATACACAAGCTGGACTTGAACTCTGTAAACAGTGGCGTTGGCAATCCCTTGGTCATGATGTCAGCTAGATGATGCCGAGTTGGAATCTGCAAAACTCTGAATTTGCCAAGTGCTACCTTCTCCCTGACAAAGTGAATGTCTAGTTCAATGTGCTTCGTTCGTCGATGATGAACTGGATTTTGTGATAGATATACAGCTGATACGTTGTCACAATAGATGACAGTAGCCTTCCTGACAGGAACATGAAGTTCTTGGAGTAAGTTTCGTAGCCAGCAGCACTCTGCGGCGGCATTGGCCACCGCCCTGTACTCAGCTTCCGCACTCGACCGGGAGACTGTCGGTTGTCCCTTTGATGACCACGAGACAAGCGAGTCCCCAAGGAACACACAATAGCCAGACGTTGATCGCCGGGTGTTCGGACATCCGCCCCAGTCGGCATCGGAGTAGGCTTTTAGTTCGGTTGATGGGGAAGCAGAGATAAAGAGGCCATCACTGATGGAGCCACGAAGATACCTGAGAATCCTTTTGACAAAATTCCAGTGACCAGCACGAGGAGAGTGCATGTACAGGCAAGCTTGATTGACTGCATAAGCAATGTCCGGTCGCGTAAGTGTCAGGTACTGCAATGCTCCTGTGATGCTTCGATAGAACGATCCGTCGGCGGCCGGTTCACCATCAGCCGCGGACAGCTTCTGCTTGACGTCGACTGGAGTGGTAGTTGGCTTGCAGTTGGACATGCCCGCACGCTCCAAGATGTCCTCCGTGTACTGAGCCTGAGAGAGGGAGAAGCCAGAGGCGTCACGTCGAACCTGAACGCCGAGGAAGAAGTGCAGGTCCCCAAGGTCCTTGATGGCGAACTCGCGACAGAGCTGTTGGACGACGTGCCGGAGGAGCAAGGTCGTTGACGCGGTCAGGATGATGTCGTCCACATAGACCAGGAGGTATGCCATGGCGTCGCCTTGCTTGTAGACGAACAGTGACGTGTCGGATCCCGTCGAAGTGAAGCCGATGGAGCGGAGGTAGTTGCCCAGGCGCTGAAACCACGCCCTAGGTGCTTGTTTGAGTCCATATAAGGACTTAACAAGAAGACAGACGTGATCAGGATGCAGTGCGTCGACGAACCCAGCCGGTTGATAGCAGTACACCTTCTCAGCCAAGTCGCCGTGAAGGAAGGCGTTCTTGACGTCAAGTTGGTGGACTGGCCACTGTCGTGTGGCTGTGAGATGAAGAACGGTGCGAATCGTGGATGGCTTTACCACCGGCGAGAAGGTCTGGTGGAAATCGACCCCTGGGCGTTGGGAGAACCCACGAACGACCCACCGAGCCTTGCGCCGTTCCAGCGATCCATCTGGATGGAGTTTGTTCTTGAAAATCCACTTGCCGGTGATGACGTTGGCATGCGGTGGTCGAGGCACGAGTGTCCAGGTTCCATTGGCCTGGAGGGCGTTGAACTCCTCCTTCATCGCCGTAGCCCACTCGGGATCGCGGAGTGCTGCACGTATGGAAGTCGGCGGGGATGTCGGAGAAGAGGTTGTGGCGATGTGCGCGTACTTCGGGTTCGGCACGCGGATGCCGTCGCGTCCGCGGGTGATCATCGGGTGCCGAGGGACCGGGTCCGACGGCGCTGATGCAGCTCGTGGCAATGCCGACGGAAGGACCGAGTCAGTTGGGGCCGATGTGGAGGCCAGACTTGGTCCTGGTTCCATAGATGCCGGGGACGCACTGGTGGACGGGGTCTCAGGCGGTTGAGAACTCGTCGGTGGACTCGGTGCTGGAGCCGCAGGAACCGTGGAAGCGGACCGGACATGTGAACTCGTCGTAGCTTGTGGTGCCCGTGGCTGCCCTTGGTTGTTGGTGCGAGGACGCCATACCATTGGCAGCGGGAGCACATCAGGGATGCACGAGGAATGCCTGTGTGCTGGGACTGAACCTGTTTCAGAAATCTGCGCAAACGGAAAATAGGTTTCGTCGAAGTATACATGACGAGATATGATAATTCGTTTTGTCTCTATATTGTAGCATTTGTAGCCACGTTGATCCATGGGATAGCCAAGGAAAACACATCGAACAGAGCATGGTGCTAGTTTATGTGGGGCGGTGGCTGTAGTGTTAGGATAGCAGAGACATCCGAAAATGCGCAGGTTTGAGTAATCCGGTGGCATGCCGAAGAGTATGGCATATGGTGTTTCATTGCCGCGGGGGCGACAAGGGCGCCGGTTGAGTAAATATGTAGATGCGGCAAGGGCATCGGGCTAGAATGAAGGAGGGAGTGCAGCCTGGAACAGGAGTGCACGAACGCCATCGTTGATGGTGCGAAGAACGCGTTCAGCACGTCCGTTCTGCTGAGATGTGTAAGGACACGTGAGGCGCAACATAATGCCATGTTTAGCATAGAACGCGCGAGAGGCTGAATTATCGAATTCCTTTCCATTGTCGGTTTGAACACACATGATCGGACACTAAGACTGTGTGTAGACAAAAGCATGAAAAGAGATGATAGTGGGAAGAACATCAGACTTATGCCGCAATGGAAAGGTCCACACAAAATGTGAAAAATCATCAAGAATTACAAGGTAGAACTTGTAGCCTGAGTTGCTTATTATGGGCGATGTCCATACATCACAATGCAAAAGTTGGAAAGGAAAAGAAGAAACATTGCTGGACTCATGAAATGGCAGCCGCACGTGCTTACCAATTTGACAAGCATGACAAGTATGTGGATTGGATTTGGTGCAGGTAAAACCTATGGAGCGAGACAGGTGCTGGAGCGCATCCCGGCCAGGGTGACCTAGTCGGGCGTGCCAGAGGTCAGCAGCTATTGAAGAAAGGAGAGCCTACGCCGATTCCGAAGATGACGTGCCCGGAGCAGTGCGCAAGGGGTAGAGCTCTCCAGAGGAGTCACATCGGAGGATAGCCATTCTGGTTCGTAGATCCTTGATGGTGAATCCCCAGGGATCAAATTCAATAGACACATAATTGTCATGGGTTAGTGCACGGACAGAGATGAGATTCTTAACCAATTGAGGAGCAATCAGAATATTATTAAGACGCGGGGAAGAAGAAGTAGTGGGAATAATGGAGTTGCCAGTGCAGGATGCCATCAAATGGCTACCGTTGCCAACAACAATATGACGGGGAATAGTAGATGATGTGCAAGATGATAGAATACCAGGATGCGACGCCATGTGGGAGGTAGCGCCGGTGTCGAGGAACCAATCGCTACCGCCACCGCTGGGAGTGTTCAGGGACATCCCGTTGAGCGCCGTGTAGAGCTCCGGCGGTATGGTGCCCGGGTATTGCTGTGGCGGTGGTGCGGCGAGGGCTGTCATGGCGGACGGAGGAGCAGCACCGGGGCGAGGCGTGAGAAGACCAGGGCGCCATGAGTTGAGCGGCCACGCCTGGACCACTCCCTGCCACGGATTGTACGACTACGCCCACTGCGGTGGAGGGGGTGCGGTGTGGCTGGGTTGAGACGAAGGCGCACTCTGGCGGTTGCGATTGTCCGCCTTGCGCTTCTTGCGGCGGTCGTCACCACCACCAGACAGCGTGGTGGATGCAGGCACAGGCGAGGGCGGTCGAGGAGCCGGTGCAGCCTTGTTGACGGTGGTGGAAGAGCCGGTGTCCTGAGCAGTGAGGAGGGCCGTCTGGGCCTCCATCTCAAGAGAGCGCTTGATGCGGTGCTCCTCCTGCAGCAAGTAGGACTTGGTGTAGAGGAACGTCGGTGGCGGCATCATGGTGGAGAGCACGGCAATGGCCTGACTGAACTTGTTGTTCAGGCCGCGCAGCGTGTTGATGACGAGAGACGGGTCGGAGACGGCGGCGTCGCAGTCGTACAGTGTGTCGGTGAGACGCTTGAGGCGGCCGCAGTACTCGCCAATGGACATGTCGCCTTGGAAGAGGCTATGGAACTCTTGCTGGGCGTAGACGGCGCGTTGAAGGCTGTTGTCCAGGAATTGCCCGGTGATGGCAGACCACGCGGCGTAGGCGGTGTTGCCCGGTTTGTAGACGTCATTCCAGATGTCCTTGGACACCGTGGAATAGAGCCGCGACACGATGCAGGCATCGATCTGCAGCCACTCGGGGTCATTAGTCATGGCGGCGGCGTCCACCGTGCCATCGATGTGACTCAGCAGCCCGAACTTCTTGATGGTGAGTTCAAAGAAGGAGCGCCACTGACGGAAGTTGCCTTCGTCGGTGGCAAGTTTTACAGGGACGTGGCTGTGGATATTGATGAGAACGAGTGTTGTGGCTGGGGGAGGAGCAGGTTCGCCGGCCTCGGCGAATGGGTTGGAGGAGATGGAACCGTCGGGGCTCGCCATGGCTGGAAAGTAGCGGAAGATGAGAGAGGATCAATGGTCGACTGATACCATGTAAGAAAGCAATTTGGGAAGAATAATCACCGCTTGTATTACAATCTGTTGAGATACATATATAGGGGTGAGAGCAGAGGCCAGCGGCTCATGAGTACATGCAGATCCTACGAGATCCTACAAAGGAGGAGGACTGGCCGTTACACAAAATGAAAGGTGCAGAGCTACTCTAGCTATCCTATACATGTTTGTTTACAATCTCAACGAAATTTTGTGCCTTGTTCTTATTAACTTGAATGATTTCGTCTGCCTTCTCCTTGGCACAGCGCAGGACCCTCATGACCTCCTTCCTCTTGCCCTCCCTCTCCTTCAGTTCACTGATGAACTCCTGTTTCTTCTTCTTGGCGAATTCCTTGAGCTCGTGGGCGACCGCCCAGGCCATGTAAACAACATTTTCTGAACCGAGACCCATGGTGCTCTTCGCTTCCTGGATCACCTTCCGCACAATCTCGTTCTTGGCCCTTGGTGGAGGCGCCTTCTTCTCCGTCGGCTCTAGCTCTACCTCTAGCTCATCCTCCGGCGGCGGCTTGAGCATATTCCTGAGCTCGGCGTAGGCGGCCCCGAAGAGCCTGCGCCTGGCGCCGCTGATCAGCATCTCCGGCTCGACGACCAGCAGGTACGCCATGTAGTTGGACACCATCCTGCTGTGGCGGGTGGCGTCGTGGCCGGTGTCCACGTGATCGAAGTAGCAGAACTCCGTGGCGAGGTGCCAGCAAGTTGATCTCAACGAAATTTTGTGCCTTGTTCTTATTAACTTGAATGATTTCGTCTGCCTTCTCCTTGGCACAGCGCAGGACCCTCATGACCTCCTTCCTCTTGCCCTCCCTCTCCTTCAGTTCACCGATGAACTCCTGTTTCTTCTCCTTGGCAAATTCCATGAGCTCGTGGGCGACCGCCCAGGCTTTGTGAACAAGATCTTCCGAACCGAGACCGATGGTGCTCTTGACATTCTGGATCACCTTCCGCACCATCTCGTTCTTGGCCTTCGGTGGAGGCGCTTTCTTCTCGATCGGCTCTATCTCTACCTCTTCCTCATCCTCCGGCGGCGGCTTAAGCATTTTCCTGAGCTCGGCGTAGGCGGCCCCGAAGAGCCTGCGCCTGGCGCCGGGGATCAGCAACAACGGCTCCACGACTAGCAGGTATGCCATGTAGTTGGACACCATCCTGCTGTGGCGGGTGGCGTCGTGGCCGGTGTCCACGTGGTCGAAGTAGCAGAACTCCGTGGCGAGGTGCCAGAGCAGGACGTTCTCGTCAAAGGGCATCAGCAGGCTCTCCTCGATGGCACGCCGGCCGACGCATCCCTCCCTCTCTAGTGTCCGCTGGCCGCGGCTGTCGTTGAACCGCCAGTATGCTCCCACGGCAGTTTTGTATGTCCTCCATTCGCCGGTGACGTGGTCACGGGCTGTTTCGTCCATAGGTCTGATGTATTTCTTCCACCCGCGGTCGATGTGGTTGTAGACGAGCCTGGTGATGCCGATCGATGGCTCGGGAGGCGCCGTGCACTAGAGCCGGTCCAGCTGGAGCTTGGCGCCCAGAACCGCGGGTGCTTCTCGCCGCGGGAGAGGTAGCCGACGTGGTTGTACTGCGCGAGCTGGTCGTCGGGCTGCGGCAGGCCCGACATCAGCACCAGGCACGCCGAGACGAACTCCAGCGCGGCGGTGCAGCAGAGCAGGACATAGGTGACCACGACGTCGGCGCGGTCGTACACGCTGCGGTGGCTCCTCTGGAACAGCCCGATGTCCACGAACGTTAGCAGCACCACGGCGGCGCGCAGCAGGCCGCCAAAGATCGCCTTGTGCTTGGTGTAGAGGCGGTCGAACGCCTTGGAGAGGGACGAGCGCACCAGGCGATGCACGTCGGCTCTGGCGGTGCGCGGTGCCACGAGCTGCAGGTTCCGCAGCCGGATGGAGTAGGGGTGGCCGAGGTCCACGAAGAGGTGGTACGGCTGGTTGGCCACCTCGTCCTCGAAGAGCTCCAGAGGCTTGGACTCGAACTTGGCGACGGTGTCGTCTGCGGCCTTCACGTAGTCCTCCAGCGAGTAGATGTCCTTCTGCAGCCCGTCGTCTTCGTCGAGGGTTCGTTCCAGCCGTTGATCGGAGGAGTTCATGATGCTCGTCACGGACGCGTTCTTGAGGGCCCATGGCTTCTCCAGGCACTTGAGGATGCCGGGGACGAACAGCAGGATCGCTGCTCGCAGCAGGATCATGTCACCTGACCACCATGACTTGCGGAAAACGTAGATGGCCACGGTGATCTGTGAAATCCATGCATGGGCAAATAATGCTGAGTCATATGTATATATGCTTCCTCGGACTATCCTATCTATTCCATTTTTTCTAATAATATAATAATAAAGCGCGCACTAGCTTAAGATTCAAACTTGATCTTTGGCCAACAATTATATTCTAAAATTTTTCAGATTATACTTCGTGCAGCCAGTTTATAAGGCGTGCATGTCTATCTAGATTCAAACTTTACGAGATATTTGACTAATTGTTTAGTTAACAATTTTTAACTGTTATAAATTTGTAATATAAACTTGATACATTTAGATTTGTATAATCAAATTTACTATTCAATAATCTTAAATTTATAATCATAAACAATATAATATAAAGTGAATAAATAGTTAAAACATACTTTGAAAAACTATGCTATATCAAATTATGCCTGATAAACTGAACCGGATAGAGTACCATATAAATGTGGTATTCTTGGGTTCTTATTTGAATATACGACCTGAGAGGCATGGGCAAATGTGAGTTATATACTTCCTCCATTTATGAATATGCTTATTTCTTTCTTTTTTATTTTTTTAATAATGCATGCATGTAATTTAAGATTCAAACTATCTTTGATCAACAGTTATATATTGTCTAAAATCTTTTAGATTATACCATATAAATTTGGTATTTATCGATTCTTATTGGAAATAAACTTTCATGATATCAATTTTATGGCGGTCAAGACCATCTATCTATTATCTTAGTATTTAACAAAAAAATATCTCCACTTGATTCTCAAGGCCCAGAAATTACCACGTTAACCAAAAAAATAAAAAGAAACCACCATTGTCATCATAAAAAAGTTAATACGTGATACCACTATAACTATTGTATATTACCCTCCAATTTCATTACGAAAAAGTTAATCCAAAGTACACCTATACCTACATATAAATTGCCTCTGTGTCCGCCTTTTATTAAAAGTTAATCTTAATACTACCTCTACTTACAAACTTACTATTAGTATTAAAAAAATAAGCAAAAAAAAACCTCCAATACATGATTTTTTTAACATCCACCTCTTGTGCACGGTCACTATTTTGTGTACATAACCTCAAAGTTTTTAGTATGTGTTACAACTACTCCATTGTTCATTCCAAATTATAAGTCAGAGCTTGGTAGTTTTGTTACGCACCAAGATATATGCTATGTCTAGATACACAACAAAAGCTATGTACCTAGAAAATCCAAAACAACTTATAATTTGCAATGGTGGGAGTAATATTTAAGATTCATATATTTGTATATGCACTATGAAGTATGCACACCTATACACTTACCTGTGAAAAATAAATTCTAACAAATCACAAATAATCAATAAAAGGATGCATAAAACTAAAAGGATAAGTCTCACAAGAAAAGAAGTGTTTGAACTGATGATATCTCTGTTCATATGTTTCCAAAATGACGAGGCTTGTGCACTAAATTTTTAATGCCTAATCTAGGTCGACGCCCAATTAAATCTATCATATTTAGAATGACAAAGTAAGCAACAGTAAATTTTGACCATGGATTTCTCTTTCACCATATTGTCAATAGCTACAAGATAAACATTGTCTTAAAAGTATTTTTTGGATATTATTCTATTGGAGCAAAGCACATAATAGCTTTTTTGAAACAAAGCACATAATAACTTAACTAGTTATTAGAAAAAATTGTAAAATTTATTATTATCTAAGCAAATACACCTTACATTGATGGACAAAGGGAGTACTTATATCCTGGCAAGTGGAAGAATTGCGGCCTCTGAAGAAAACATTTGACTACTACTCCTTTAAACTATGTTTTATTAGTGAGCAATAAAAAGGAAGCAAGCTAAAGAATAATATAATGAAGTTTATCCAGTTTCAGTGACCAGTACACTTGAATTATCCAATGCAAAATACTTTTATTTAGCCACTAGATATTTAGAGTAAAATACTAATTCGGCTGAAAGACAAATATATATTATGCTGCTTGCTGTTTCGGGACATCGATGATGTCTATTTAGCTGCTCCATTCCTCCCCTCTATATACTACTAGGAGGTATCTGCTGACGGCTTCTGTCACACGTGCTCCGAGCTACTAGCTGTGCCTGCCGTGTTGTGGTACTTGTTCTTGAGTGCATGCCGCTTTACTAATACAAAAAGAAATAAATGATGATGATGATGATTATGATGGCAAGCAACCATTGGTACCATTTCTTAGCACGTCTGCTATACACTAGAACAACTAAGTGGAAGCTTTACTAATACAAAAAGAACTTTAATTTCCATGTTCATACCTTTCGCACAAGGGCTTGCCACACTACACAAGTAATTCTACACCAGCTGGCTGAATGGAATATATTCTTAAAAAAATGCTTTACATAAGACAAGAATGTCGAAATCTCTGTCCTGACAGTGGTGAAAGTGGGAACAGATGCATCATCCACATCATTGAATGTGAAACCACATCATAATTTTACCTTCAACGAATAAGCAAGAGAGCTGCCAATTATATTAAGAAGAGAAGCTAAAACCTAAATGGGCATAACACCATATAGCAATTGGCCCCTAGAGGATTTGTAAAGAATAATCATGTGCCCATGATCATATCTTTTAGTTTTGGTGATTGAGATGACAACATATGGTTAGGACTAACATGTATTGTATGTTAAAGATGTGTTAGACAACATGTTATAATAGGATTAACATGAGCTTTTTATTTGTATCTTATGTTTGATGAGAGATATGTGTGCTTTATGTTTGTATCACGTGAGAGACATGGCTTTGAGCTTCGTTGATGTATCTTGAGACATGAGCCTTATCTTATAATATATTCTATCTTAGTGATTAGTGGACTTGAGAAAACTGTGTTGCGTGTCATATGTGTGATTTTATATTAATCTACATACGGATCATGCATGCTTAAGTTTGTGGAACTTTTATAATGGTTTGATGCTTTTATATTTAATCTCGTGTGATATATCATGTCATATGCATCACGATTACATTATGACACATACCATACATGCACTACTAAAAATTTAACTGGCATTCAGCGTGCAGTTTTCTATGATCTTGGAACAATATGGTTTAAGACTCACTACTAAAATCTTTGTGCTCCCAAAATGAGGATTTTCCACTTTAACAGCCTTGCTAACATGAGCTGAGCAGATCTTTGATACCAGAAATTTTATTTTATTATTATTTCTCCTTTGCGGGCAAGGCTTGATACTGCCTTTGGTCAACTAAAAATATTGAAACATGTTTTATATGTTTTCTTAGCCGCTGCTGTTTATGTGCATAGTGCGATTGCGAATGCAAGTGGTGGCACAGATGCTGTCAATTTAGTTTTGCTTTGATTTTTTTCTGTTTTATTAAAAGAGGTTTGTGCCGGTCTTTTTTTTTTTGCGACCATGCCAACCATTGACACATATTTCATTAACAGAGTGTAGAGAAAAACGTTTCAATCCTCAGGAGTGATAATTAGCAATTACCGAGACGAGGGCCAGGGTTCAAAGAATTTAAAAAGCCAAAAACACTGGCTAAAGGCCAACCAAAAAAAAACAATAAATTTGCGACAATACAACAGCTTCAACCAGTCGCTATCAAAGCAGCGCAGCTAGCGACCTAAGGTCCCTGAACCCTGCCATCATCCAAACATCGGCATCATCTTCAACAATTTTCTGCACAAGCTGGGCTGCCGAAGAGCTTTGTCCGCCAAACGTCCTCGCGTTCCGCTCTTGCCGAATTGACTATCCTACAAGAACGAAGGACGAGTCGAAGCCCCTTCGTGCTGCCTTTGGGACGAGCTTCGTTGACCACATCTACCAATCCATGCATCTTCCCTCATGGGGCACTACAACCGTGTGCAGGTGTAGCTGGAGCAAAATTCTAGCCCAAACTTCACGGCTAAAGACACAGCCTAGCAGAATGTGATTTATGGTTTCCGATTGCTGATCGTAGAGGACACAAGCATCGTTGTCTTGCAAGCCATGGCGTCGTATTCTTGCAACTGTCCAACATCGATCATGCATCACCAGCCAGAAAAAGAATCTAACTCTGGGGGCGCCCTCGTCTTCCATATATATCAGCTTCACGCCGAGCGGCCAGGATGAACCGATGAACATGGCACCCTATACCGAGGCTGCCGAGTATTGCTGGTTCGAGGACCACTTCCAGCAGAACTTCTATGGCACTCCCGGTTGGAGGCAAATGACATCAATAAGTTCCCAGACGCGGATGTACTTGATGAGAACTTGGACAGTGAGCGCAGACGCGACAGAACGTCCTTGGCGCGTCATTCCCACTACCGCAAAGAGTGACGGCGCAAGCTGCTGAATACACATCCCTTGAAGCCATCTATCCTTCCTGAAAAATTGACTCACCATCCCCAACTACTGATTCAGTGGCTGCCTAAAAAATCACGACGACAGCCTTCTCACTGGTGGCCGGCAACTGACCCTAGATGCGTACGTGGTCTGCAGCAATCCCCCATGCTACCTGACAGCGACCGCCACTCACCGTTCCTGTGCCGCTCCAGATGAACGCTCTGCGATGCTTGTCATTTGTCAATGGCCTCAATGGCCCATGGTGAGAGGCACACCAGAATAGACATGTGCACCGGGATCGCAGAAAGAGTTATCTTGACGAGCGTCATCCTACCTGCAAGGTTCAACAGGTTCCCTTTCCATGTGGGTATCCTGCTTGCCACGGCATCGATCAGGAATTGCTCTTCACTGCGGCACAGTTTGTAAACTGAGAGTGGAACCCCCAAGTAACGGTAAGTAAAGTCGCCAATCTTGCAGCCCATGACTTGTTGAACCAAAGCGAGGTCCTGGCCTGAGCAGTTGATAGGTGTAGGCACACATTTCACAAGATTAGTGAAGAGACCCGATGTTGAACCAAAGATATCCAAGCATGCCCTCAACACCGTATGGTCCTGAACCTAAGGAGCA